CATACGGCATACCGTTGCATACTTTCTCATGAGGAAGACAGCTAGTTGATGACCATGACACGATCAGAATCTTTCAATTTCCCTTTTTATTTTATTAATTTTTATTTTATTTTTGTTTATTATATGGGGGTGAATTGAACTTGGCAACCCTGATTTTATAGCACGAGTCAAAAACGGAAAACTGAAAATGATTGAACTCAATTATTATTCATGCCATTTGAATTGGTATAAGAAGGGCAGGCTCGCTCTTCTCTCACCATTAAAAACATTATGTTGAAAGAGTCAAAGAAATCAGAAAATCAGAAAAAAAAAAAAAAAAAAAAAAACATAGTCACACAAGAATTTTGAGACCATGCGAGCGGCATACCAGTATGCACTTTAACTTTCTCATGAGGAAGACACGCTAGTTGATTGACCATTCTAAAATTTGAGCGCATATCAAATTATTACTATTTTATATGAAAACTACTTTATTATTCCAATTGTTTCAAGATTTATATTTTTTAAAAAAAACATTCAAAATGACAAATAAATTGTTATAGATTAACTTTAAAAAATGTGGCAAATAATTATTGGTAAATTAAGGAAAAGTTATCTCTTAAAGTTTATAGATAAATATATAGAGTTAAATTCCAAGAATTTAAATTATACTATATTATAATATATGACAATTCGGATCAGAATCTTTTCAATTTTTTCCTACTTTTTTTTATTTTATTAAATTATTTTATTATTATTTTATTGTGTTTAATTAATATTAGCGATAAATTGGAACTTGGCAACCCTGAGATTTTATTAAGCATCGAGTCAAAAAACAGGAAAACGGGAAAATGATTACTCTTTAATTTATATTTACATGCCATTAATGAAAATAAAGTTATAATGAGAAAAGTAGAGAGCAAGAGGTGTCTCACAGAGAGCTCTCTCTACACCATTCTAAACTATTACTAAATGTTTTTAATATCTATTTTAAGATCTTTCATTTAAAAAGAAAATTATAAATATACAATATATAATAAGTAATATTGGAAAAAAATGTAAGTAATATACAAAATTATAGTGAAATAGTAAAAAATTTCCTACAAGAAAAAAAAGAATTAAGATAAATAAAGAACAAAAAAAAAAAATGAAGTTCAAGAATACCGAATTTTTTCTTGCAATCCATTTCACTCGTTTAACAAATAAAAGAAAAAACTATAAAAATGCAAAATTATAGAAATAACAAAATTTATGCAATCCTAAAATAATAGCTATTCATTTTTTTTCTCGTAATACTGCCAAAACTTTTTATAAATAAGCCGTTATTTTCTAATATAAGATAGAAGGTCTATTCAAAGATATAAAAAAAGGAAAACTTTAATTTAATTAGATGATCATTAGAGTCAATTCTCGTACCCATCACACATTGATGTAAATATCCAAATGTACAAGTTTGTTACACTATCATCTCCTACAAACAAAAAAAAATAAAAAAAAAAAAAAAAAGAAATCCAATTAAAAGATTTAGAATATGATTTAAAATTGGAGAAAAAATTTACTTTTAAACAATTTTATTTGTATTTACTAATAGTCATTCTAATAGCTAAACGTGAATTAATACGCATTCTAATGAAAGTAATGAGTGTCAAATACATTAGCACACAGGGAGGACTTTACCACAGTCGATATATATTATTATTTACAATGGTAAAACAATTTATGGATTGCTAATTAACAAATCATTATCATTTTATAACTTAAAAAAAAAAAAAAAAAAAAAAAAAAACCCCAAAAAAATCAATCAATCACTAGAATATTGTAAACAGCAATCTCCATCTAATGACCAACTTAAATTTGGAAGCTACATCCATCACAATGTGAAATCCCACGAGAACTTCACAGTGATATTTTTATTTCACAATGTAAAATATGATTGCTAATACTACTCGACATTTAACTTAAATTTTTTGGTGTATTTTTTATACAGAGAAAGTTACTCTTAATAGTAACTTTGGGATGCAAAACAAGTTAAAAAGATTAAAAAGCCCTTAAAATATATGTGTATTTTTAAGATTGAAGCTTAATAATCAAGGAAAGTGTTAGATACAAATATTCTCAATATTTAATGCACGCGTGTTTCAAGGAACAAGTTATCAATTCACTTTTTCATTTCGTTTTATAGTAACAGTAGTCGTTTTTATAAATTTGGCCACATAAATACAAAGTTAGCCTTTATTTGTATGTTTGATGAATATATATCAACTTTTGTCATTGTAAATTTGGCCACAACCATTAACGTAAGGAACGAATATATGTTATGCTTTGAATGAGGATCCAAAGATAAAAATTGTACAATAAAGGAGTCAGCTACTCTTCCAAGAAGCGCTGAAAGAGTGCCTTCAATTGCAAACAATAGTGTTGAGATTTTAAAAAAATTGGATGCAATTACTACTCTTTTGGCCACATTGATGGAAAAGATAAATAAAACAGTGAGTAAACATAGAAAAATAGTGCACCTATGATGCACAGACACGGAAACAGGAAAACAGGGAAACGAGGAAACGAACAAGGGGAAACGGCATTTTCAAAAAATATAGGGAACGTAAACGTGGGGGGAATGTGTAAATATAAAAAATATAAGGGTTTATTTATAAAATTTAAAATATAGGAATAAATATAAAAATAATTTAGAAATAGTACATTTATAATTTTTAAAGGATAATTTATAAGTTACATGCTCAATAAAAAAAAAAAAAAAAAAGTTCTACATTCAAAGTCAAATAATAAAAGAAAAAAATAAAGATATTCAAATAAATGTTCAAAAATGGGGAAAAAGAGTACATTTATAATTTTTAAAGGATAATTTATAAGTTACATGCTCAATAAAAAAAAAAAAAAAAAAGATATTCAAATGTCAAAATGGAAAAAGATAATGAAATTCTATTAAATTTAAATTTAAAATTTGATTTTTTTTTAATGCAAGATACGTTTTCAGGGAGAGGAAACGGGCGTTCTCGAAAACGGACCCGACACGTTTTCGAGTCGTTTCCAAAACGCGGAAACGTCAAGCCTATTGCACGTGTCCCTGCATCACAGTAGTGAACAACTTGAAGAGCTGCAGTCTTCTGTTGTTGATTTGAGGCATTTCATTAAGGAATGAATTAGTATTTTGAGAATTTCGAAAACACCTGCTGGAGAAAAAAAATAACCAAAAAAGTAAAGATGTGCCTGAAGGTAGTGATCATCAAGTCGTAGAACTCAGATGAGACTGAACCTCCTATACAAGAACCATAGACAAAAGAAAAGTTTATTGACTCTGAAGATCCTTTTGCAAGTGATGAGATAGATGACCCAGTAGGAAAAATTATGGAGAACACATTTGCTACTATTAATGCTGATCTAAATAAGAATAGTGACAATAAATAGGTTAATGTGTACTTTTATTGATTGTAATTGTGCACTTTCTGATTATCTTTTGCTTTTTTGTAAGCCACTTAGTGGTCTTTTGTTTTTAGTACTTGTGCAATTTTTCAAAATCATCATAATAGTTTTACACTGTTGTAAGCCACTTAGTAGCCTTTTGTTTTTAGTATTTGTGCACTTTTTCAATGGTTTTTGTTTCTCTGTATTAGTTAACAGAGAAACAAAAATAGTGAACTTCTGTAAGCCACTTTGTATCCTTTTAATTATTAGTTGTGAACTTCTTTAAACCATTTTGTGACCATATTTTCAGTACTTGTGCACTTTTTTAATAGTTTTTGTTTCTCTGTATTAGTTAGTGGTTGTGAAATCCTGTAAGTCACTTCGTGGCGTTTTAATTTATTAGTTGTGCACTTTTGTAAAACATTTTGTGGCCTTGTTAGTTTTAGTTGTGCATTTTTTCAAACCCTTATAATGGTTGTACTCTTTTGTAAGTCACATTGTAACCTTATTATCATTAGTTGTGAACTTTTCAAAATGTGAAGTTGTCACACATTTTGCTAGAACTTTTCACATAAATGTGAAGTTGTTTCAAACATTTTGCTAGACTGTGCACTTTTTTCTGCCGTCAAACTTTTACACTTAACTCAGATTTTAGTATCTACTTTCAAATTAAAACTTGGTTAAGCAGTTTTCAAAATTAAAAACTGCCAGATTCTATATCTATTTCGGGCCTAATGGTTGTACTCTTTTGTAAGTCACATTGTAACCTTATTATCATTAGTTGTGAACTTTTCAAAATGTGAAGTTGTCACACATTTTGCTAGACTGTGCACTTTTTTCTGCCGTCAAACTTACACTTAAACTCAGATTTTAGTATCTACTTTCAAATTAAAACTTGTTAAGAGTTTTCAAATTAAAACTCAGATTCTATATCTATTTGGCCGCAATATATTGCATTTGGACACTACTTTCTGAATTTCATGTAAATTTGGAGAAACCAAATTTTGTTTTTAATTTTGAATTAAAATTAAAAAAATAATATATTAATTAATCTATATGAAACGCTATTAAGGTGTTTAACGTTGTATAAAAAGTTATCATAAAGCAACTTTACCAAGCACTATAATTAATAGAAATAAAATTTTAAATTAATTAAAACGCTGAAACTTAGATCATAGTGCTAAAGTGTTAAAAGTTAGTTCATAATGCTACAAGGCAAATCAAAAGTTGCTGCGGAAGCCGAACAAAGCATAATTTTAGCAGACACCCCTCCCAAGTGTTGTTAAAAATCTTAAACTAATTTGAATTTTCACCATGCAGAATAACTGAAAATTTGCATAAGTTAAACACTATTTTAAATAAATTTTCATCGTTTAGATTATTCAATGCTAAAAATTCTAAGTCATAAATTTTCAATTTTTACCTAACAAATTAAACTAAACACCATCTAAATTGTAGAATAATCCATGATAATGAAAATTTAAATTATGATGATGAAAATCAAAATTCACCATAATTAAATATAAAATTCAAAATTCATCTAATATCCGAAAACTTATTCCACCCTAATAGAACTAGTTTATGGCTAACACCAGACATTATTTAACCAAGATTTTCTTAAACAAATAGTGAAATTTCATCAGACAAAGAAGGTGCATTTTAGCAAGCTAACCTACAATACAACCGTTCCATTAAAAGAATAGTGGAACAATGTTTTATATGAGTGCCTTGAACTGACCTAATAAAACAGATTTCATACTCCGATTCAAACTTCATGATATTCTAAATGTCAAAAAAAAACAAAACAAAACAAAAATCAATGGCTTATATGCGATAATTTGACTCTGTGCAAGCCAAGTTGTAAAGCCTCAACCAGCAGAAAGCACAGCACATGTTGAAATAGGATTTTCGCCGGTGAAAGAGAAAGATGAGTGCCTGACATTTAATTATACAGCGACATTCTACATTACAAGTGAGATTTCTGAGCTGCTTCAGTTTTTCAGATATACATAGAAATGAACTTTTATTGTTGTCTATTTCTATCAGCTCAGAAAAAGGCACGAGACCCTCCTTAATTGCAAAGACGTCTCTCCTTTACTTAGTACCTGTATGAGATATATCAATAAATAGATGCAGATCTTGTAATTATATTGTTTTATGCCTAAATATTTACAAACCTTCTAAGACAAATGGTCGGATTTGGTCAACAGCAGGTGATTCATATTGCTGGTTTGATTCATCTTGTTTCGGTGAAACAGGATCAAATTTGAGTTGTTCTTCTTGGTCAGGATCCAATGGCTCAAGCTGTAGCTGTGGTTCAATATGTTCAAGAGGCGGTGGCTCGAGCTGTTGGTATTTGGGCTTGTTTTTCTCAAGGAGAAGGTAACTAATGTAATACCAAAATAGTAAAATTCTACTCTGAGCTATAACGGTTTCATTAATGTGGCTTCCTCCAAAAGAGAGCCGCTCAAGTGCCTGCAAAATATAAAAGATAAATATAAATTTGGAAAACTACAATATAAACACAAGTAAATTGTAGAAAAGACACGCAATCATAAAAACAAGTCCTTGTCAACTACTTTGACAATGTCTTGTGTGTAGAATTTATTGCCATTAGCAAAGGTGTGCTAGAATTATACAGCTGAAAGCATGAATCTGTAAATCATATGAAATATTAAGAAGATAAATAGGATAGCTGATTACAGAAAGCTATTGCAGATTTATTTTTATATGTATTTTGACTCAAATTTTGATTACATAACCGAGTGCTCTTGGAAACCCGATTTTTGGTATCAAGTAGCAGGAGAAGGATTAAGCATTCACAATATGTGTTATGAAACAAATATTTTTAATACCCTAATACATATTTGACCACTAACTTAAAATCTCAAAGACAATTATATTACAGAATATCTTTAGTATTTGTTAGAAGTTGATGAGACTTTTAATTAGAAGGTTCATGAACCCAAATAATCAAGTTCATCCTAGATATATAGTACTAAGCATTACTTAGATACAATGTATTTTATTAATTAAGCTTTCAAGTCTTTTAGTTTTGTGTGTTGCTTTTATTGTAATTCTTATTAAGAAGCATCTATAAATAGATGTTTGTAAAGAAGAAAACATATAGCAAAAATTTCAAGAATTCCTTCTCTTGTCTTCTACTCGAATCTTCTAAGTTTACTTTTCATATTTCTTAGTTTCAATGGTATTGTTATAATGAACTAACACTTTTGTAATAACAAATTCTTGTTAAATGTTAATCTTTGATGTGAATCAAGGTTCTAACAAAAAAATGTCAATCTTTTCTTTGACAGTTCCCGGTTATTCTTCACCAAAACAGGTTGCTACAATTTAAACTACTGGAATTCACAATGTCAGTTTTACCTGTTCACCGGTTTCAATATCAAATGAATGTTGATGATCAAACTTAAGTCCTCTGAACTCATTGATGCAAAGCCCTTGAAAGGCCCTGAAAGAATGTGAAGAAAATGGAGTCACGGTCCGTAAAGAAAGTAAAATGGAACCATATTCAACTTATCATCTAGTCAAAATGGAAAAAAAAAAAATAATGGATTGAAATATATATAACACCCATTTACCATCTTATCAGAGAAACACGTGGTATCCATCGGAAGATGATTGGTGTATTATCTGCATTGACATAATACCCCCCAAATACAATGAATACTGTCATTAGAGATGGTCCCACTGCCATTGCTGCTTCAGTGGTTGAAACCATTGCTCCAACAGTTAGCCCCATTGCAGATGCAGCAAATGATTCTGCAGTTACAATTCCACAGAATTTTCCAAACCTAGAACAAGAGTTTTAATTCAGTAACTTCATGTATAATAAGAGGAATGAGCAATAACTTCCCTACCAAATTATGCCCAATGTCCAGGAGGCTTGGTTATTTGATTTACATATATCAATAATAAAGAATGACAAACCAGCCTGCTCTCACAAGAATTATTTGAATCACTTGATGCACATTAAAATAATGGATCTTATTCTCACGTTCATGTGGAATACACAATTAAAACGATAGGTGGACAATGGGTGGGTTCCATTCCAATTTTCACGTGCACCAAGAGTACATTCTAGAATTTGCCATCACATAGTCAACAATAATTAATGTTAAGAGATACAACAAGGGAAGCAACTAATCCAAGGAAATTACATAGATGAAAAAGATAAATACTAAGAGGAAATAATAAATGTCATAGTCTAATCAGCTAAATAAGTCTATTCTACAATACAAGGAAAAAAGAATAGCACAATTAACAGAGTAGAATTTTTAACCATCCTCGTGGTTCCAGCCATATTAACTCAAAGCATTTTGAGCACACAATTGAAAACAAACACTACTAAATACACCATTACTAAAAAAGTAACCAGAACCAAGTGCAGTATAACTGGAAGGTGCATTTCTCTCCAGTAAGGCACGCCCTTGAAAGTGACTATTTTGCACCTTGTGATACCGAAGTGTCACTTCTCAAACATGCCAACTTGAATTAATGAAAATGAAAACTATATTTTATATAATTAATTTATAATAATTAATTATTCAATTCATATTCATTAATTATTGATTTATATAAATTATATTTTAATATAACACAAACTTCATATCCAAATAAGTTCAGCATAGAAGAAATACATTCAGATTGTGGTCCACAAGTCAATATAGATACCTTCACCTTTTATTTATTCCATAAACAAAAAATAAAGATTCTTTATTTCCTAAATCAAGGGACTGCAAAGACATAGCAGTACTTTAACTTGTAAAATGCGTTAATAACCACTTTTGGGGGGCTAAATTTAAGGACTTGCCACCAATATTTATAGCAGATAAGCTGTAACAAGTGAAAGGAACATTGGTCCACTGAAAATTTCAATATTTGTTTTTCTCTTTTTAGGGGCTTGCTTCAATTTATATTTCCGCTCACCCTTGGGAGTTAACAAACACACATTTCCATGTTTGATGCTATTTTGTTGTATTTCATTTATTTCAACAAATTGCAGGGTGGCACACTGTAATGATCTTGAGAAGTGCTAGTCACATATACTAGTCAAGCTTAGGGATGAAATTGGAATCTCCTCCCCAATTCCTAGTGTCCTAATCAAGCCCGTAGAGATTTCAGGATCCTGAATAATATGAGATTCCGGAGCATTATGAGCTCACCATGCTCATACCCAGTGTCATGTGCCCCAGCTAAACAAGTGGTTCACAGCAGGATTTACAGTAGTTATTAACATAGGCCACAATTGCTTAAATAAAACAATTGTCTATTAAATGACCATAGTGGAGGTGTATCAACATGTTTTTCAAAAGTCAAACTGGTAAACCAACACACCTGGACAAAGTGGGATTAAGACGTGCCATGGGATACAATACAGCACCAAACATTAATGGAAAAGCAGCTCCAACAGGAATCTCAGCTATCAATTTAGAGAGAAGATATGGCCCTAATGCATAAGATCCCTTTACACGCTCTCTATCCACAATTGCACGTTCCTTGGGAAACACACTCACTGTTTTGGTGAGAGCAGCCATTGCTGTATTTATTGCTGCGACCTGAGAAAGGCCAAATGTCCAAAATTAATCAAGGAAACTGTAACATGATATTTTCGTCAAAATCGAAAACATAATATTTCCATACTAGCCTACTAATTCAAAAGGTTATAATTATCATCCATGCTGTGTTAATGTGTTGAAAGCAAAAATAGCAAATTTTCTTAAGTCAGTGAGTAACAAAGTGGCACAATCTGGCAACAAGGATGGAAATTATACTCAAGAATGGGACAAAGGTTCTCCATTTCTAATACCTCATGGATGAAAGTAATCTCCACAAACAATGGAAAGGTGATGCTTTCAAACTATAACCATGCATCCCATCTTTCAGAAAATATAAAGAACAAGCGAAGTCAAAATTATTGAATAACTGTAAAAGGCCTAAACCTGCATCATGGTTCATGTCTCCAAACCGAGTATTATCGATCTCAGTTAGTACATTCAATAATCTGTCCCATATGAGTAACATTTGGACTTCCTTTCAAATTTAAAAAAAAAAAAAAAAATTCTCTTACATTTTCTTTTGGTCCATAAATTGTTTTTCTCATATGCATGTCTGAAAATGCATCTTCAGAGTGCAGGAAGTTGAAGGGGACCATGTGTAACATACCTGGAGCAATCCCATTCTGTCTTGTATTGATGTCTGAGATAATCCCATTCTCCAGAAAACAGACCCAAATATTATAGCTGATGCAATTGACATTCTTGCCCGAACTTTGTTTGTTGGTCCATCACGAGAAGCCTAGAAACTCATTAAAATGTGCCAATCAGAAAAAGCCAAAGCTGAGGTTATAGTCAATTGAAAATTGCTACCTATGAACAAACTACAAGAGCTTCTTGACTATTCTAATTTGTCTCATTCACTTCCAATAGGAAGCAACTGCATTTATGAATTTTCTTAACAAAACTCAGTGCATCATTTCTACAGTTTGCTTTCTAGTGAATTGGTCATCTAAAATTGGGTAAATTTGACCTTGCAAATGCTGTTTGTCTGACCAGGAACAAGCATAGGAACCGACTCTATCACATCATGTTGAAAAAACAGATTCTTAAACATAAATATTAGCAAGTGACAATTGAGAAACCAACTTGCATCCATGCACGTTTAAGGAGCAGCCAGAATTGCTTCCACCAAGAACCTTCCCGCTTTACAATGGTTTTCTTGCTTAACTTCATGCCATACTTGTAGCTCTTCCTTGTATTAAGGGGAGTTGCATAAAGGACTGTTGATAATTGTTGTGAGAATGACTCAACAAGACCATCTATCCTTTTCTGGGAAGAGTACACACTTTCAGCAGAAGTGTAGTCAATGGATATGAGATCAGCCAAAAATTCAGCTGGATTGACATGATCAGGGCAACGATACCTGTAGAATCAATCAAATAGTAATCAGTGGTTTCAAACTTCAATAGTAGCAACATCAGCTAAAAACCACAGCAGAGAAGACAGAAAGTCCAGTGAATAATGAATAGTGTTTTATTTTTCCATGTAATCACTAATAGCTTATTTGAAAATAGAGTAATAAAATCATGCACCAAAAAGGAAGGCAAAAGATTCAACACATACAGCTGTGTACTGCCACTATGGTTAAATAATTACTTTCCAACTTCATGGCAAGAATAATGTTTGTTAAATTAGAAGTGTAGAATGCATGATGGAAGGATTTGTTTGCAATGCAGAGTATCCATTAAAAATGTGTATAACATAACAATTAACATAGAAATAATCATATGAGATCCAACATCAAATTTGAGATTTTGAACAATTACAAATGTCGGAAAGGTTGAGCTCAAGGTCTACATCCAACTATAACAGGCATCTGAGTCTCATTGGCTTTCTAGTCTGGAAAGTTCAGGCGAGAGCTGTCTAATGTATTTAGTCTTCCTCCAGCACTGTTTGCAAAGAGGTTGTCTAGAACCTATGACCTCCAGTCAACAAAAGAATGGTAACCGAAAAAAAGAAAAAAAAAAAAAAAAAGATTGGGCTTTCTAGTCTGGAAAGTTCAGGCGAGAGCTTTGTTAATGTAATTTTAGTCTTCCTCCAGGCCACTGTTTGCAAAGAGGTTGTCTAAGAACCTAATGACCTCCAGTCAACAAAAGAATGGTAACCGAAACAAGAAAAAAAAAAAAAAAGGAGAGAAAGAAAAAGAAACCTCACTATCCCCAAAGGATCACGCCCTGCAAGATCACATATCTGGCCATGGAACTAATCAAAAAAAAGAAAAAAAAAAAAAAAAAGGAGAAGAAAGAAAAAGAAACCTCACTATCCCCAAGGATCACCCTGAAGATCAATATCTGGCCATGAACTAATCAACTAGAAGGGCATATGGGTCAACATGGGGAAAAATTGTGGCCATGACCTAATGAATTTATTGTGATTGCTCCCATTTATGCAAAATGTTTGGAGGCTACCCCAATATATTTTCCTTTCTAGCAATAGCATACTATGCAACCCCAGAAATCCCGTAATGGTAATCATAAATCAAAAGAACTAGAGAATTACAATTGACATATCCATATACCATAGAAAGTACCACAAGAATGATCAACATTAGAAAGGCAAGGTCTGGCTAACCCAAATTTGGAGAAGTATGTCAGTGGTTCATCATGTGCAGGACCAGCATAAACAAGCGCACCCTCTGTTAGCAAAACGATGTCATCAAATTTACTGTATACTGAACTTCTGGGTTGGTGAATGGAGCAAATGACAGTATGTCCATCCTGAGCCAGTTGTCGAAGAGTTTCCATTACCCTCTCTGCCTGGAAAGCATCAAGTCCTAGAATATATTGATTCAGCAGTCAACTCTACAAGTCAGCGGATCAATAATCTATAGAAATTTGGGTTATTGTGAATCCACAATAACACACTCTAGATTAAAGCAGAATGACGAAGTCCAAAAATAAATTGAGCATCGTTAATATACAATTTGCTAGAAATTAATGCAACGGGAATTTGCAAATGTATATAAAAATGCTTTTTCCTTTTTTGTCTCCCTTTTCAATAAAAGAGGACTTTAATAATTAAGAAAAAGGAAAATTCCAATGAGAATAAGATCTGACTAATATATGTTCTAAAAACCAAAATAAAATTGAAAATAATATATTAGGATCTAATAAAGCAAAGCTGCAATCACATTGAATACCAAGAATGCTAAAAACTGTTGTGGTTAGTTATTAAAAACAGACTTAGAAAAAGAATGCTAAAGCTAACTTATCAAGGGACGTGCAAAAATACTTGTGAAAACAGTCCAGTAAAGGACTAATAGGTGAGCAGAATCGCATGAAGCATGCTACCTGTTGTGGGTTCATCAGCAAAAATGACAGATGGGCTTGCAATAAGTTCACATGCCAGTGATAAACGTTTCTTTTCACCACCACTTATCCCACGAACTTTTGCATCACCAACATTTGAATCAGCACAACTAACCTTTGAGTAAAAAGAACAAAAGCAAACCCCGGATTGAAATCAAATTAAATGAGAGGTAATTTATTATATAAACTGATAAATACAAGAAACAAAAGATGAATTATAGTGCATCCATGGTTACACCACATTAGACCACAATGTGTTGTTATTAATTATTTTCGCAGAAGAGATATTGATGAAGAGACCAAGTTACATATATAGGATTTCTATTTCGAGGATATAAACTAAGACTGATTAGCTTCAAAAGTAAATGCTTGGACTTCAAATAAATAGGAGCTAATTTGACATCAAGAGTTTTCAGTTCAATTTACATATTCACATCGAAGTTAAGAAGTCATAGTCATATTTACCAGGCCTAGCTTGAACAGCAGATTGTTCACGTACTCATCTCTTTCTTCCACCGAAGATATATCTCGAAGTTGAAGTTCTGCAGCAAGAGACAGTGTCTCCCTCACAGTAAGCTGTGAGAAGAAAAGATCCTCCTGTCTCACAAAAGCAAACCTGCAAATGACAATAAACCTCATAAAAACCATTACAACATATAAAAAGATCATATCACTTCATATATGTCCCAAATGCCAATAAAACATACTTGTAAGCTCTGTTAGAACTAGGTCTCCCATTGACCTCCAAAAGACCAGATAAATGCAGACGAGATGATGCCATTAGTTGCCCTGCCAGGACATTGAGCAAAGTCGTTTTTCCTGATCCAGAAGGCCCCATGATTGCAAGTAATCTTCCAGGTTTTGCTTCTCCACTCACATTTTTCAACAGAAATCGCACCTGCAGATTCAATTGCCATCAGTTTTACACATATAGGCGATGCTACCCCGATATCAACCAAACCAAACATTAAGCCAAAAACAAATAAGCGAAAACAACTTATTTTTCCACATTTTCTCAGTGGCCGACCACAACTTGAAGGAAAATTATCAATTTAAAGAAAAATCAAGAAAAAAATAAATAAATGATTAATATCCAACTAACCTGTTTAGAGGATTTATCAGAAAGAGAACACGTGATGTTGGTCCAGCGGATAGTAACCGGAACAACTTTCCCCAGAACCGGAGCCTTTCCAGATTCATCGTCTCCGTTAACGTCGTTCATCTCATCGTCATCGAACTCGTCTTCCGGTGTCAAAGCAGGGCCTGGTCCGGAAAACAATCGGAGCAGAAGAGACACCGCGGCTGCCACCAGAACCTGGCCAATACCAGTCCCGCCAAACCTCACCACCTGGCCCGCCATTTTCCCGCCAAAACGCACCATTATCTTTCTATCTTCAACCTCTTGCTACTGCTGCGACCTGCAGAAGCTAAAGCTACTACCTACTGGCCCGTTTGCGATAACGGATTCACGTTCTGTACTCTGGTGAGATAAAATTTATCATTTCATGCACTTTTTTAGACGATGTCGTTTAACTCGATACTATGTTTGGATTAAAGATGAAATAAAACAAGAGGGAAGGAAATATAGAGAAATAGGAAGCAAATGAGAATTTTGAAAACAAAAAAAAAAAACTATTGTTTTCCTTTGTGTCTTCTTATATAGAAGAATAAAATTATTTTTTTCAATGAGACTAGGTATTATTTTTCTTCTTTATTTCTTTTCTCTTTGTCAAATGAGGAAACATTACATTTTCTCATTATTTTCTTTAAGCATTTTCTTTCCTCTTGTACTCTGTCTCACATCCAAACATAGCCCAAGATTTACTGTCTTAATTCCTGTTTCTTTAGAAAAATCGTTTTCTCGAGACTCGATTTTATTCCCCTATCGCCTGATAATTTGATGACACGTGTGTACTTTGAGGATAAGATATAGTTTCCCCCGCTCATCGAAGCAGAAACATTTTTTGAAAAGAAAAATCTCAAAACAGACCGAACCAACCAAATCAAACCCATTGTCAATTTATCATAGTAATTTCCGGTTCGAAGGCAAATTATTATATATGAAAACTAGCTCATTTTGCACCCTTAATTTGGCTGATTTATTCAATTTCCCCAGATTTCAATTATATAATCAATTTACTCTATTAATTTGCCTAAAAATGACAAATACCCTTAATTCTGTAAGATTAACGTGTATAAAAGAGCTTCTCTATTCTCAGCAGGTGAGACACACCTTCGAGAAATAATTTGAGCGCTCCAACACAACGTGTTAGAATATAATATATATGAAGAGATTTTCAATTCCAATTCAATTCAACTAAAAGGTACAAATTGATTTTAAATTCATAAATCTATAAGAGTGTAGAATCTTTTACCAGGGTCCTTCTAACTCCAAGACACCAATGTTGAATCTTCATATCACATTCACAATAGCAAACAACTTAACCGTGAAATTCCATAGTTCTGTAAGGTGGCTAAGGATGATAGTCGAGAACCAAAGCTTATGCTTTTCGCTTCTTGAATCGCATTTTCTCTTCAACTTGGGATCTGCAGTTGAATGATGATTTCATTTACATATTTGGCAGTTTAAGGGTTGAATTTTTTTTTACTATTCATATTAATAAAAAATAATTTATAATTTCCTTTTTCTTGTGTACTGTGAAGCACGCTGGAGATTCGGATTAAATTGTAGCCAATTTGATAATTTTGACAAACTACTGGAGCAAATTGGTGTAAAAATAAAAAATCTAGGCAAATTAAACATGTGAGTCAAATTCTTAAGTTTACAAAATTAGATGGATGATATAATTAAAATTTTTAACTTATCAATTATCATTATATAAAACTAAAATTGTGTGAATCAAATTATAAAAAATATTACTAAATTTTAAGGGTTTTTTTTAAGTAGGCCAAATTTAGAATCTGCGCAAAGTAATATTAAAATATAAAATAATCTTTTATAATATCATTCAAAAATAACAAAATTATATAATAAAATGATTGCATTACAAAATTGTATCTTATTGAGATATGCTAAAAAAAAGTTGCAGTGCTAAAATGTGTTTTCTTAAGTATCATGTGAAGCCTTTTACCAAGATATGCAATAGCAAAAGTCATATATTGTATGACCTAGGGGTGTCAAAATGGGTTGGCGTGTCAGATTCGAGAGGATTCGCCTAACACGAGATACGATAGGGTCAAGATGAACACGACCAATTTAATAATTATGTTAAATTTATCGATACAAACACGACACGAAAATTAGATAGGTAACATGAACACGACATATTTAACTCGCCTAATATCGTAAACGGATTAAGTGATATACAACCCGTGTAACTCACTTAATATCATAAACAGGTTAGGTGAGTCGTGTTGACTTGTATACGATCCACTTAACCTGCTTATAATATTTTTAAATTTTTTAACCTATTTAACTCCAATCGTATATAAAAGTAATTTTTCGTACATAAAATGCATAAATTTTTCAGAATTTATAACTAAAATAAAAAAGTAATACAACAGTAAAGTTACCTTTTTACTCTTAAATAAACGGTCACTCGTCTAACCCGCGTGTCAATACATTTATATTTGTATCATAAATAGGTGACTCGTTTATGACACGAACTCGTTTAACTTTAACCCTATCCATTTATTTCGCGTGTTAAGTGAATCGTGTTCGCATACGATGACCCATTTTGACACTCCTAGAATGACTTGCATTAAAAAATGCACACACACTATTAATGTATTTTTTAATAGTGATAATAATTTAGAAAGCCGTATTCAATGAAAGTCGTATGTACGGCTTGGAGGGAGGTCTTTCATATCTTTCAAGATCCAGAGTAGTATATCCTGAGTGTTTGAATGTCCTATTTATGTTTTATATATATATATATAAAAGAAAAATAAAGTTAATTTTTTTCTACAAATTTATTTTTATTTTTTTTATTTTCCTTCTAATTTGAAGATGAGTGTTTGAAATGTCCCCTATTTAATGTTTTATATACTATTATATATAAAAGAAAAATAAGTTAATTTTTTTTCTACAATTTTTTTTATTTTTTTATTTTTCCTTCTATTTGAAGAGAAAATTCATCTGAATTCTTTTCTTCTTATTTAAAATAGTTTTTGCTTATTAATATTAGTTAATTTTCTTTTCTCCTCTTATATGACATTATCTAAAAATATAACACAAATTATCTTCTTATAATTGTTGTCATTACAACTCATCTTCTTACAATTACACTAACTCCTTTGCGCTTGGCAATATGAGAGACTTATGCTATCTTTTGAGATAGATCTCTATATAGATAGATATATACATACTTAAGCGGAACCAAAATTCACTGTACACAGGAACAATAAATTTCCATTTAAACCATTATCTTTTTATTGTATTTCCATTCTACCCTCTCTTTATAAACATAAATTACTGCTTTTTTTTTTTTTTTTTTTTTTTTTTTTTTTTTTTTTTGGGAAAACCACAACTGAAAAACTTCATTACCAATGTAACATTTTTTTTTTTTTTTTTTTTTTTTTGGAAAACCAAACTGAAACTTCATTAACAATGATAAAGAGAATACAAAGAAGATGGACTATTGTCCCACACAACAAAACTAGCATATTGGTAGGATGTTTTGGCTAAACTATGAGCACCTATATTAACTTGTCTAGAAATCCAACGAATTATAATATCTACACTGTCTTAACAACAACTTACAATCATCCACAACCTTACCTAAATCAGAAGCATCACAAACAGTGGAGGACAATGCAAGAACTAAAGATCGACAATCACTATATATATACATCTTGAACTAAGCATATTATCAACAGCCCAAAAAAGAGTGGATCATAAGGCCAAAGCCTCTGTCAAAATAGCCGCACCATAAATGTTGAAACTGCTGGAGATAGCTGCTTTGAACACACCCTCTTGGCTTTCAAATATTGCCCCAAAACCCAACATATGCTGAGGAGCAAAGAGAGCACCATCCACAAAAGCAAGCCAATCAAAATTAGACATATGATCCTGATTGACAAGGTGAGAGTTACTATTCAAAGAAACATCTCTATGCAAAATCAACCTGGGAATTACGGCAGCACATGTATAGAAGTATGAAAAGAAAGAGAGGACCTCCAATCTTGCAAAGAGAGACAAATATTGTTGCAAATCTCAACAGTAGTAAGCTGAACATTATGCCAAAGAAATTGGTTCCTGAAATACCAAAGCTTCCAAGTGATGAAAACAATTCAGCAATCCTTTCATGAGCAGAAGATAGAAAAATTCTAACAAAATATGCTTTAAAAGTACAAGAATAATGTGGTTTTGGAAATCCAAAATAATGCCATATTTCTCTTACTTTAAAACATTTCTACAAATATGATTAACAACTTCCACCTCATGACAAAAATAACAAAGTATGTCCACATTCACTCCTTTTGTAAATAAATTTGCTTTTGTAGGTAAAATATCTCTTAAAGCTCTCCATATAAACTCTTTAGCTTTTGGTGGAACCTTTACATGCCATAAATTATGCTAAAAACTTCCATCAACTATGTCACCCACTCTTCCTAATATTTTTTGGCACCAGTAGTAACATGTTTTCACAACAAAAATACCCTTGTTATGAATTTCCCATATGAGCTTATCTGGACTCGATCTGAAACTTAAAGGAATTGAAAGAATAGCCTAAGAATCCTTAACAAAGAATGTTTCTATAATTTTATTAATACCCAACATCCTAGTATTAGGAATGATAAGATCACACACCCTTAAAATTAGGATCTATAAAGCCAAAAGAATTGTCTACCATAAAAGTATCATCTTTAGGTAACCAAGCGTCCCTACAACAATATGCTTACCATCCCCACACTCCACCTAATACCTTGTTTTAAAATATTCCTTGAAGTAGGAACACTCTTCCAAGTAAAGCTTGGGTTTTGTCCCAAATTAGCTGACAAAAAATCTCCTAAAGGATAATATTTAGCTTTGTAAATCCTAGAAAGAAGAGTGTAAGGAGTAGTTAGAAGTCGCCACCTCTGCTTAGCTAACATGGATAAATTAAAACACCTAAGATCCCTAAATCCCATACCTCCATCTTGCTTACTAGAGCACCGCCTATCCTAAGACATCCAATGGATACCCTTAGCTTCATTCTTTTTTTGTTCCCCTCCAATAAGCATTCATTATTTTTTGCAATTCATCACAAAGAGTAAAAGGTAATTGGAAAACACTCATGGCATAAGCAGGAATAGCTTGACCAATGGACTTAAGAAGAATTTCCCTACCTGCACGAGATAACAATTTATTTTTTCATCCTCTTATCCGTTTACAAAGTCTATCCTTCAAATATGCAAAAATCTATTTTTTACTTCTACCTATTAAGGAAGGTAGACACAAATAAGAACCACTTCCTAAAGCATGATGAACCCTTAAAATAGAATGCACTCTATTTTTAATATGGTCAGAAACATTAAGGCTAAAACCTATACTAGATTTTTGGAAATTTATACGTTTTAATCGCGATGAGTCTTGGGTTTATGGGTTTTACAATAAGGTGTTTTACTATTTAACTAGTCTTCTTTATGACGTGCGATGCACATTGACTATGCTTGTTATACCTTCATTCTTCATATTTGTTTAATTTTTTATTTATATAATATTAAAGTATAAATTCTTATTTAGATTGAGTGGTTAATTAAAAGTAAATTTCTTAAAATTCTTATTTAGATTGAGTGGTTAAATTATATTACACTTTATATATATATAGTAAATATTTTTTTTTATTCTATGTTAATGTACTAATTCATATAGTTTTTATTATACGTTAGTTGCTTTCATTTTATTTTTTAAGGAAAAACCAAATTGATTTATAAAAATCCTCATATAGCTCCTATTATACGTTTTATAATCAATTTACATGTTTTTTTAATAATTTTCACTTTAATCTCTTGTAGTAAATAAATATACGCTAACAAGAGAATAAAAAAGCAATCTAATAAGTCAAATTAAATATTTATAAATAAAAATAAATTTTTATTTTATTTTGTAGCCAATTAAAATAATGAAAGTATTTTAAAAAATTATTAATAAAATTATATTCTTTAATAGAAATAGGATTTGGATTATATATATATCAATGTAACTAATTAAATTTCAGATGTTTAAAAATAATAACTTTTTATCTTATTTTTTGGCTAACCAAATTAGAGTGCAATTTGTAATTAAAGAAATTTAATTATACCTTTTTTAAATCAAATCTGAATCATCGAATCATCTAGATATATTTATTCAAAATAAATTCAAAAAAAATGTAAAAATTTTCAAATACCTCATATTTACATATATTATTTAAAATAATAATGTTGAAGCTAAATTATAAATCATAATAATGATAAATTATTAAAAATTATTAAATTATTATTAATAAATTAGTTAATAATTTACGTAATAATATAATGAAAATATAATATAATTAGACACAATTAAGATAATAATAGTAAAATTTAAAATTTGAAATGCTTAATTATCTATATTTATTTATCTATTAAAAAAAGTAAAAAAAAAATCCGATCAAAGCATAGAAATATATTTTTTTTTAGGTTAAAATTTTAGGATATCTTAAATTTCACAAGAACAGTATCGTCAATCTCATTATTCTCCCCTCATTCCCACTTTTATATATACTAGTTTTTTTTATGACTTATGATGCACGTTGACTATACTCGTTTAGCTTTTCTTATTTATGTAATTAAAATATAAATTTTTAATTAGATTGCAATAAATACAGTGGTTTTATATATACGGTAAAATAATTTTTTAATTATATATCTTGCACTGTAATATCTCATTGAAAAAAAAATTGATATATTTGTTTCTCTCTTTAAAATAACAATTTAAATATGAAATATATCATTTATATTCTTTTCAACATACTGTTTTATATAATTTTTATTATACGGTAGTTGCTTTTATTTTTTGTTTAAGTATCAAATTAATTTATAAAAATTATCATATAACTTTTATTTTATGTTTTAAAATTAACTTACATTTTTTATTACTAAATTTTATTATAATCTCTTTTTAGTAAATAAATATACTTTAATAATAGAGTAAGAAACTAACCTAATAAATCAAATTAAATATTTATAAACAATATAATAATTATTTTTATTTTTATTTTTTTAACAAACAAAATCATAAAATCATTTAAAAATTTTATTAATAAAATTATATTCCTTAATAGAAATATTGCGATTTGAATTAAATAAGATATCAATATAATGAATCAAATTCGAGATGTTTAAAAAATATATTTTTTTATCTTATTTTTTGGCCAGCTAAATTAAAGTGCAGTTTGTAATTAAAGAAATTTAACCATACTCTTTTTAAATCAAAATCTCAATTATCTAGATATATTTATTGAGAATAAATTCAAAAAAAAAAATTAAAAATTTTAAATGGCTCACATTTACACATTTTCATTTAAGATAATCCTGTTGAAGATAAATTACAATAATAGTAAATAAAAATAAAATAATAAATATAATAATAATAATAATAATAAATTTATTAAAATTATTGAAATTATTATTAATAATTATATAATATATAATAAATAAAAATAATTAGAACATACAAGATAAATAATAGTAAAATTTTAAAATTTCGAATGCTTAATTATCTATAAATGTATTAAATCTATTAAAATACGCAATTAAATTATAAGATATATATTTTTATATTAAAATTTTTTAATGGCTATGACTAAAGTTATTTTAAAGTATCTTAAATTTTACAAGAACAATATAAAAAATCACATTAACCTTCATTTCCACTTTTATATATAGTATAATATAGATGTAGATAGATAGATAGATAGACTAGACCAGACTAAATGACAATAAAGCAGTCCACCAAACATCTATTATTGTCAAAACGAGTCTAAACCCGCAGACAGCCTAGGATTCTCGTAATTTTTTTGAATATAAACAAAAGAATTGAGATTTGTTTTTAAAACAAGCTTTTTTTTATTCAGTCTGTTTTTTATCAAAGCCCACACAGGCCAGCCGAATGGGCATGCAGGCTCGCTTTAGAACAATATATATACATATATCATAAAAATTTAAAGTAAAACGGAGAATAACAATCCAAAATTTGCATAAATCGACTGAGAGAGCTTGCTTTCCTCTTTTTTCCATGTTAGGGCTCTTTGAATGGAAACACAAAGTCAATAGAAATTCAAAAAAGTAAAAAAAAAAAAAAAAAAAAAAAAAAAAAAAAAAACCGTCCAAAACGGACATGTCTGCTGGCGCACGGACTGAAAAAAAAAAAAAAAAAAAAAAAAACCGTCAAAACGGACATGTCTGCTGGCCCGCACGGACTGAACCTAAATATTAGAGGCCATGTTTTAACAAGTTTTTTTTGCTCAATCTATTTTGGGATCAAGTCCATGCAGTTGGGCCGGACAGCCCATTTTGACAATGCTATTAACATCCAATATCTCCTTAAGTGCATTCGTTAATCTGCATTGCATTTGTTAATTATGAACATTTGAACGGTGGGAGGTCCAGGGGTGGCCACAGTTCTAGAACTGCCGGTTTCAGTTCTAAAAAATTTAAAATCGAAACTGAACCAAAAATTAACAGTTCCGGTTACAGTTTGGAACCGAATGGTTTTAATTCCAGTTTCGGTTTCAAAATGGTTCCAAAATGGACGGTTTCGACCGGTTCTCAGGCTGATTTTCTGACCGATTTCATACAATTCTGGTCGGTTTTAGATCGGTCCTGGCCAGTTTCAGACGGTTCAGGCCAGTTTCTGGCGGAACTAAATCCGTCTGTTTCGACTGGAACTAGAACCGCTGGTTCACAGTTCCAAAACTAGTGGAACCGAAATCGAACCGATTTGGACCGATTTCAATTTGGGTTCAGACCGGTTCTGGTTTCAGTTCCCACTGGTTCGAAACCGAAGGTTCAGGTTCCGAAAATCGGATTTTGGCCACCCCTAGGGAGGTCTACCTATTTTTTTTATTACATATTGTTTTTTTTCTTTCCTAAGTATTTAAAATGTACTTATTAATTAAAAAATTAAAAATCCAAATAATCTTTTTATAAGAAAAAATAAAAAATAATTAAATAGTATCAAATAAATCTAAAAATATACTTAATATAAACAAATAGTTATAAATTTAAACTATTGATTATATATTTATTGCCTTTGTCAATTTAACACCACACTACAAATAAGTATTAATTTTTTCCCACTGTCATATTTGAAAAATATCATAAAAATTATAAATGGTTAACAAGTCAGAATATGATTTTAAAGTTCCTAAATTATTGCGGCTACAAACTGAATTCTTTTAATTTATTTTTCTCATTTAAAAGTATTTTAAATTATTAAAATTTTAAAAGTTAGAAATAGATTTAATTAAAAAAATAAAATCTAATATAAATAAAATATATTTTGAAAAAAAAAAATTACATTGCGGGCTTTTAATCTTTTTTTTTTTTTTGGAAAAAATAATGCGCGTAAATTTTAGTTGTTCTTTTCCTATATAAATAAATGACAACCCAATAGTTCTTTTCGCCAACAGAACTCAGTGGCACAATGGATTCACTCCGGCCACCATCATCACCGTGGAAGCTCCCCCCAGTTATATCACCACCACAACCACCCTATCGAAACTGGGTGGAGCTTCCACGGGATATAACTGCATTGATCCTGCGCAGTTTAGGTGACGTCGAGATCTTGAACACCGCGAGACTTGTCTGCTCCACTTGGCGTAGCATATGCAACGACCCATCCATGTGGAGATCGATTGACATGTATAATTTTGATGATAGACTTTGGGATTCGGAATACGATAAAATGTGTAGATACGCAGTTGATGAGAGTTGCGGTGGCTTAATATACATCAATATTGAGCATTTTGGTACTGATGATCTCCTCATCTACATCGCTGATGGGTAATTTTCTGGTATTGATAGTGGGTGGGATTGTGTTTGTTAACTGTTTAGCTGTTGTGGGTTAGTTTATTTGTTGAATTTTGTGATAAGGGTTGTATTTGGTAATTTGATTTTGTGATTTTCTTTTTCCTTTGTGTTTGAGCTCTGAACTTGCAGATGTGAGTTATTTGGTAAAAATGTGAACTTTCTATTATGTATTTTATAATTGTGGTCATTTCTAATTGCCTTGTTTTTCTTTTTACGGGAATGTTTCATTAATATATGTATTTGGAGGAAAATAAAATTACCTTGAGAAATTCCAGACCAGCATTTTGTTGAACAACTATTCCGAAACAATTTGGTGCTTAAGGGAAATTACCTCATCAGATGTTTGCCTTTCTAGGGAGGTTCAATTGAAATCACATATCCTCGATAGAATGAAATATCCCCATGCAATTTTTTTTTTCCTATAGACATAATTTGAATCTGCACTCTTTTATTTTCGCAGTATATTTTGGTGATTTATTGGTGTCAATCTTCTCACTTTTTGATATTGCCATCTTCTTTGACCACCTTACAGATCAAATCATCTAAAACGACTTAGTTTTGCATTTTGCTATGACATTTCGGATGAGGGATTAAGTGAAGTAGTCGCAAAATTTCCATTACTGGAAGAGCTTGCTATTTCGGGCTGCCCATCAATATCATACAAAGCTCTTGAAGTTATTGCACATTGCTGTCCTTTACTCAGATCATTGAAGTTGAACAACAAGAAGTGGAAACACCCATATAAATGCAATCAGGAGGCATTAGCCATTGCAGAAAACATGCCTGATTTACGCCGCCTTCAGATTCTTGGAAATATGCTGACAGATGAAGGCTTGCAGGCCATTCTTGATGGTTGTCCACAACTTGAATCTCTTGATCTGAGACACTGTTTCAATATCAGTCTGGATGGGAATTTAGGGAAAAGATGTGCTGAACAGATCAAAGATTTGCGGGGTCCTTATGATCCCACCACCGATGACTACCCTTTTAGTGAATCTCCAAAGGAAGACTATGCATCTAGATGTTCCTATTTTTCATGGGATGTTCATTATGATGATGATGATGATGATTATGACTACTACTATGATGATGGTGGTGGTGGTGATGATGATGATGATTATGATTATTTATGACTATATTTATGATTAGAGTAAGTCTATGTTTTCTTTGAGAATTGTCTTTTGTCTATTCTCATTGTCTGATTTTGTTTTTCTGTTTTAGACATCTCTAATGATAAATGAATGTTTTATGTTTATATTATGCTAATGCTATTTCTTTTGTCTAAATAGCAGCTGTAGTTTATATGAATGTGAAATTTGCGTTCGGCTTTTAAGGGAACAAACCTGTTTCATGCCAGTGTTTTTTCTTTCATACTTCAAATTCAACTGTGACTTAGCAATTTAGCCATGACCCAGCCTTATAAGTAGGGATCTAGAAGATGAAAATTTGATATGTTAAACGATACTGTATTTACTGCTTTTTGGCCAAAAAAAAAAAAAAAACAAACTTAACCTTAACTTTCATATGTTTTAAACTCTCATTGACTCATGAAATTTTTTTAGTTATTTCATGGATTTTATTTCAGGGTAAAATTTGAAAATAAAGCTCCTAAATTTAAATTCGAGGAAAAAAAATTAAAAATAATTTTTACAGTCAATTTAGTGTAAAGAATGAGTTGTTCAAAGAATTGAAAAGTTGGAGGGCTAAAAAAAGATAAAAGATGACAATGAAGAAGAGAGAAAAAATTTGAATAAATTAAGATTTATTAAAAATTAATATACATTATTGAACTTTTAAATACTTTAGACTTTTGGTTGTCCAACGTATTGAAGGACAGATTGACGCTCCGGCTTCTGCTCGTTTTCTGATTCTGTAACTTACTTCTACCGGAGTTCAAGAATGTGAAATGCATATTATTACTCGTTAAACATACATCTTATAATGATTATTTATAATTTATTTTGCATATATTTTTTATTAATTTTTATAATCACAATGTAAAAATTCAATAATTTTAGTTATAATTATTATATGTATAAAAATAGGTACAAACCACTCTATCGATTAATTAATAAATATAATGTGATTCTCATCTTGATCAGAAGAGTTCTCCGTTTCTCTAAAATTAAAATAAAATAAAATAAAATAAAATTGTGTGAATCAAATAATAAAAAATAGTATTAAATTTTAAGGTTTTTCTTTTTTTTTTTTTAATAATTGGGCCAAATTTACCTCACAGCAATTCTGTGCACGTTCACCGTATATCTAAAGTTTCAACTCCCAAAGCCGGAAACGCTTCGTGAAGCCCAATCCAAATAAAGTATCCAATCTAATCCCCACCAGGGCCACCACCGTCAAAGCGGTTCTTCTCTACATAAATGACAACTAAGTAGTAATTCTTTTCGCAAACAGAAATCACTCGCATAATGGATTCACTCCTGCAACCATCATCACCGCCGCAACAACCATATCGAGACTGGGTGGAGCTGCCACGGGACGTAACTGCAATGATCCTATCCAGGTTAGATACCGAGGAGATCTTAAACACCGCGCGACTCGTCTGCTCCACTTGGCATAGCGTATGCAACGACCCATCCATGTGGAGATCAATTGACATGCGTGGTTTTGACGGTTATTGTGAAGAATTGGATTACGATATTGAGAAAATGTGTAAATATGCTGTTGATAGGAGTTGTGGTGGCTTAATAGATATTAACATTGAGTATTTTGCTACTGATGATCTCCTTAGCTATATCGCTGATCGGTAATTTTCTGGTATTGATAGTTGATAATTGATAATTGGTGGGATTGTGTTTATAAACTGTTTAGCTTTTGCGAGTTGGTTTGTTTGTTGAATTTTTTTTTTTTTTTTTTTTTTTTTTTTTTTTTTTTTTTTTTTTTTTGTTTAGCTTTTGCGAAAGTTGGTTTGTTTGGTTGAATTTTTTTTTTTTTTTTTTTTTTTTTTTTTTTTTTTTTTTTTTTTTTGTGTTTTGAGCTCTGAACTCATACATGATATTTGAGCTATTTGGTAAGAAAATTTTTTTTTTTTTTTTTTTTTTTTTTTTTTTTTTTTTTTTTTTTTTTTGTGTTTGAGCTCTGAACTCATACATGATAATTTGAGCTATTTGGTAAAAATGTGAACTTTCTATTATGGGTTTTATGATTGTTGTCATTTTTAATTGTCTTGTTCTTTTTTTTATTAGTATGAGAAATTCTAGGCCAGCATTTCGTTGAAAGGCTTTTTTTCCCCCCCTTTATTTCTTCGACGACAATGGTGGAAACGACTTCAAACATCTAAAAGTACAACCTGAAAAAGAATCATTTTAAGTAGTCCTAACACCTTGTTTGATTTTCTGGTGTGGGAATATGCTGTTTTTGTGTCATGAATTCAAGATTTGTGGGTTAGTTCGAGCAATGGTTTACCTAGGATGGAGGGAAAACTTTTCTATTTTAATGGAGAGGCAAGTTTCAGTTGTTTCAAGCCTTCCTATTGAAATCAATGTTTTACAATTTGCATATAGAAGAGTGAATTGATAGTCTGCTTTTCTTAGGAGGTTCAATTGAAATCACATGCCCATGTTGTACTATTCTGATCCTCATGCAACACTTCTTTTTTCCCTATATGCATGTTTGAAGCTTCAATCTCTTAATTTCCCTGTATATTTTGGTGACTTGTTGGGGTCAATCTGCTGACTTTTAGCACGTGGTCTTTTTTATAATCACCTTACAGAGCAAGTCATCTAAAACGACTTAGGCTTGCGATGAACTTTCGGATGAGGGATTAAGTGAAGCAGTTAGAAAATTTCCATTACTGGAAGAGCTTGCTATTTTATCTTGCTCATCAGAAAAAGCTCTTGAAGTTGTTGGCCATTGCTGTCCTCTACTAAGATCATTGAAGGTGAACGACAGGGCACACAAAGACTTTCATACAGAATGCAATCTGGAGGCATTAATCATTGCGGAAAACTTCCCTCATTTACACCACCTTCAGATTCTCGGAAATAGGCTGACAAATGAAGGCTTGCAGGCGATTCTCAATGGTTGTCCACACCTTGAATCACTTGATTTGCGTAAATGTTTCAATATAAGAACGGTGGGGGATCTAGGCAAAAGATGTGCTGAACAAATCAAAGACTTGCGGTGGCCCTATGATCCCACTCCCATCAGTGATGACTATCCTTTTAGTGAATCTTCTGATGAGGAAGACTATGACGCTTCTATTTTTTCCTCTCTTTCATGGAGTGATGGTCCTTACGGTGGTGATCATTATGACTTCTATGATGATTTTGATGATTATGAAGATTATTTTGACTCTCGTTATGATTATTAGTGGCTTGTTGATGAGGTTACTCTTATCCAGGTGAGCTAACTAATTCTGTGTTAGTGTTCATAAGACCTGCAAATTGTCCAGTTTTAATGGTGATTTGTGTTTTGTAGGTGGGGATATATGCACTACCGTGGCATTTTGATGCAGTTATCGATTTTGCAATTTTTGGCATGCCTTTGATCAAATGACTGTAAAGTTCAGTTCTTTGTTTTCTTTCAGTGTTGTCGTCTTTTATGTAGTCTCCTGTTCTTCTCGTTTAAAGCCCCGTTGTCTTAGACATCTTTTCTATGTAATGACTTTTATAGTTATTTTAATTTATTTTTGAGGAATTAGTTTAATAATTTTTATATAAGGACTCTTGTAATTATTTCATGAATTTAATTTCAATGTAAAAGTAATCTAAATTTCTAATTTGATTAATTTAAATATATTATTTTTTTCATTAAATTTAAATTTATTATTTTTTCATTAGTCTATTGTAGCGGTCTAAAATAAGCATTTCACCTTTTAAAAAATAAATGGAAATCAATTATGCTTGTAAATTTGGAGGTAATTTGAATGTTAAAATTTTTAATTATTCTATGAATATGGTAGTTTTTTTATTTATTTTTGTTTTCTTGAGAAAGAATAGGACAATTCATGTAACTATGTAATTGATTTCATCATAATTTTGTTGTTTTAGGGTAGAGAAATTATGTCTCAAATGTGGGATTTCTCATTTGCATTATTTTTTTTTATTATGATGGAATTTAAACTATTTAATTTTATTTGAAAAAAAAAAAGTGTCCCTTAATTTATTAATTTTGTTTTGGAGAAAAATATAAATAGGTCTTTAAATTATTATTAAAAAATATATTAGGATTTCTATTTTCAAAAATTAAGTGTGACATCTCTAATTTTTGAATATGTGAATTTCTATCTTAAAAATGTAATTTTAATTGTCATGTGAAGTGACTAAAATATCAGTTTATAAGCATGTGCCGTTTTGATGCTTCGTTTTTCTCACTCCTAAGCCAAACTTTCAACCAATTTTATACGCACAGCTGATTTTTGGAAATTTAAATCTATTATATTTTTTATATTTAAAATGAGCATTGATATAATACTTAAAATTTATATTTATTTTATTGTCAACTATTTATTCCAAATAATTTTCTTAGGTTTTGAATGTTCTCTGCTAATAATAGCTAATGAAAATTTTTTTGTTTTTTATTCCATTTTCATTAAAATTAACAAAAAAATAAAATTAAAATATTTAGATTATAATTTTTTATATATATATTTTAAAAAATATTAAACACCAATTATAATATTATAGCTAAAATTATGAACGGTGCGTAGAACGGGAATATTGGTAATTCAAAAAGTAGTTTATATGTATTCATATTAACAATAAGGAGCTTTTAAAATTTAATTTCCCCCCTCAAATTTATATGTATTCTTAAAAATAACCACAATTGCAGGTCATCAACATTTGCGTCTTCAATTTTTTTTTTTTTTTAATCTCTCAATATTAAAACTAATTCTGTTATGAACCGAATGTAATATAATTAAGGATACTTCATAAAAGCATGTCGAGTAATTATAAATAAATACCAATGTCAAATTGTATTTTTTTAGGTACTATTTAAATTTATAAATAACTATTTACATAAAATTAGTCCCACGGAAGAATGGTATGTTAAACGAGTTTCATAAGATTAAATATGAAAGATGATTAAGCAGTTAATTTTGACATTAAAAAAATTAAAAGTAAATAAAAAAGTGATGAGCGAACATAAAAATTTATTCTTTAGCAAGAATTTTCTATAAATATGCTTATTTTCAAAAGTGAGAAAATGTTCGACGGAAGTCGTTTTCTTTTTATTCTATTTAATGGAATGGTTAAATTATAATTTAATTGTTAACAACAAATATTTTCATTTAGTCATATTTTAAACACATGAAATTTCTTTTATAATTTCATTCAATATACCAATTTTTTAGAAAATATATTTCATTCTGATTCAATATACCAATTCTTAAATTTAATTTTTTTATAAAATGAGATCGTTGATATAGTTAAAGTTTTTAAATGTCATGTAAAATTAATAAAATTAAAATTGTCTGAATCAAATTATTATTTTTTTTTTTTTTTTGAAAATTAGGCCAAATTTATCACACAACAAGTTTATGCACGTGCAGAGTTCCGGAGTTCCACCACCCAAACAGACCACCAGACCAAATTCCCACCACCGGTCAATATTTGCTTCTCTTCATAAATGACTGCCCACATTATTCTTTTCTCCAACACAAAATCACTCGCACAATGGATTCACGCCGGCCACCATCGTCACCACCGCAACAACCATATCGAAACTGGGTAGAGCTGCCACGGGACATAACTGCATCGATCTTATCCAGGGTTGGTGCTGTCGAGATCTTAAACACAGCGCGACTCGTCTGCTCAACTTGGCGTACCATATGCAATGACCCATCCATGTGGAGATCGATTGACATGCATAATTTGGGTAATTCTTGGGATGTGGAGTGTGATCCTGAGAAAATGTGCAGATATGCTGTTGATAAGAGCTGTGGGGGCTTAATAGATATCAATATTGAGTATTTTGGTACTGATGATCTCCTTAGCTACATCGCTGATCGGTAATTTTCTAGTATTTGATAGTCAGTAGGATAGTGTTTATTAACTGTTTAGCTATTGTGGGTTTGTTTGTTGAATTTTGTGATTAGGGTTTTGTTTAGTCAATTTATTTTGCTACTTTTTGTGTTTTTGATTTGAAGTAGATGCTAATTTGAGTTTTTTTTTGGGTAGAAGTGTGATTTTTCATTTTATTATTTGGTTATTTCTAATTATTTTGTGCATTTCTTTTGATTTATGGGAATGTTTCATTAATTTATATTTAGCGGAGAATAAAAATACTTCGAGAAATTACAGGCCAGCATTTTGTTGAAAGGCTTTTTTTTTTTTTCTTTTTCTCGTTTTGATTTATTGAACAACTGTAGTGAAAATGGTGCTTAGTGGAATTTCTACTTGCAGTTTTGATTTCTACTTGCAGTCCTGTTGTATTATAAATACAACATGAAAATATTATTGTAATTTGTAAGTGCTTGTAACATTGTGGTTGAATTATTTGGTGTCAGCACATGCGACTGTTCTGTGTCAAGATGTGTATTTGCAAATACTTTGTGCAAGTATACGTGTAATTGTGTATGTGAGATTGGTTCTGGCAATGGTTGACCTAGGATGGAGGAAAAACTTCTCTGTGTTTGATGGAGAGGCAAGTTTCAGTTGCTATGAGCCTACCCATTGAATCCAATACTTTACAATTTGCACATAGAAAGAGTTACCCCTTCGTTTGTCGATTGGGGAGGTTCAATTGAAATCACATATCCATGTTGTAGTATTGGGACCCTTGATAGAATGAAAGATCCTCAGGCAATGCTTGTTTCCCTATATGCATAATTTTAATCTTCAATCTCTTAATTTCGATATATGATAAAATATGCTACACTCAATTGACGACTACATGTTGGTGATTTATTGATGTCAATCTGCTGAATTTTAGTATTGTGGTCTTTTATTACCAACTTACAGATCAAGTCATCTAAAACGACTTAGGCTTGCATTTTGCGATGACATTTCGGATAAAGGATTAAGTGAAGCAGTCACTAAATTTCCATTACTGGAAGAGCTTGCTATTTCTCGCTATTCATCTATATCAAACGAAGCTCTTGAAGCTGTTGCACTTTGCTGTCCTTTACTCACATCATTGAAGCTGAAAATGGGGTACAAACACACACGTATAGAAAGCAATGAGGAGGCACTAGCTATTGCAGAAAACATGCCTCATTTACGCCACCTTCAGATTTTTGGAAATAAGCTGACAAATGAAGGCTTGCAGGCTATTCTTGATGGTTGTCCACTCCTTGAATCACTTGATCTGCGTCAATGTTTCAATATTAGTCTGGACGGGGATCTAGGGAAAAGATGTGCTGAACAAATCAAAGATTTGCGGCATCCCAATGATCCCATTGAGGACAGTCCTTTTATTGAATTATCAGAGGAAGATTACCCATCTGGATGTTCTGAGGTTTATTCATGGAGTGATGATTACGATGACTATTATGATGACTATTATGAATTCTCTGGGGGCAGTGATATGTCTGACCTTGGCGATTTATATTTTGATTAGCGCCTTCTTGATGACCCTGTCGCTTATCCAGGTGAGCTAACTAAGGCCGCATTGGTGTTTATAATACCTTCTAGTTTACTATGGTCTGATTTTTTATATAATTACATTGCATGCATGCTGCACTTCTTTGGTCAACATCAGTTTGCTGATAACTGATGATGATTTGTGTTTGTGTTCAGGTTTTTGTAGGTGGGGATGTATTTACGTATGCACCGGCATGGCATTTGGATGCAGTAGTCGCATTTGTAATATTTGGCACGCTTTTGATCGAATAACTGTAAAGCAGGTCTGCGTTTTCTTTGAGAGTTGTCTTGTATGTACTCTCATTCTCTTCTTTTCATCTAACAGTATGTATTTACCTTTATAGACTTCTCTACCAATAGATAGATGTATGTATTTATGTTCATACTGGCTTTGTCTAAATAGCAGCTGTAGTAGTTCTGTTTATATGCCTGTGAAATTTTATTTTGGCTTTTAGAGGAACAAACCTGTTTCATTCCAAGTTTTTTTTTTTTTTTTTTTTTTTAATATTTGGCCACTCGGCTTTTGTCGAATACTGTAAAGCAGGTCTGCGGTTTCCTTTGAGAGTTGTCTCGTATGTACTTTCTCATTCTCTCTTTCTTTTCATCTAACCAGTATGTATTTCCTTAGACTTCTCTAACCCTAGAATAGATGTAATGTTTATTTCATCACTGGCCTTTGTTAAATAGCAAGCTTGTAGTAGTTTCTGTTATATGCCTGTGAAATTTTTATTTTTGGGCTTTAGAGGGAACAAAACCTGTTTCAATTTTTCCCAGATTTTTTTTTTTTTTTTTTTTTTTTTGTTCTTTGCATACTTCAAATCAAAATGTTCACTTTGAAATTTAGCCATGACCCAAATAATGGTATGATATATTGTTTCCTTTGGCTTGGCTATTGGTTTTCATATTATGAAATCAATTCTTTAATCTTTAATTAACACTATCACCCACTAAATCGAGAAAGCTGTGAAAATAAAAGAAGAAATGAGAAAAAGACGGATAGGGAGATCTAAAAAGAAAGAGAACAGAAGAAGGATTGGATGGTGAAAGATTGGGGAGGGAGAAAACTCTGGTCATCTGGGAAAGGATGGAGTTGGCGTGAAGATAACAGTGAAGGTGGCAGGTGAAAGCGTTTGGGTTAGCTCAGGAACTCGATGCCGTTGTCGTTTGGCTTACATATGTGTGATGATTTTTTTATTATTTTAAAAAACATACGTTTTTTTTTTTATTTTTGGCTAAGAAAAGACCGAGTCAAAAATTGATCTAATTTTGGCCTAATTAATCCAAAATTTTATTTTAAACTTGTGAGTTCGGAAGATAGATTTTAGGTTCAGAAAGATAAATTGAATATTATATTTTAAAAAAAATAGAAAAATAGAAAATGCAATTTTAAAAGGAAAATTTCAAATAACAGCTAATTTGCAGGAGCGTTTTATTCAGACAATGAGCAGCTTTATTTTGCAGTTTGCACTAATAAACATTTACTTGAATAAGCACAGCAGATATTTCTGTTTATTTTCCGTGAATTTTTATATGTCGTTCAAATTTTTTCTAATTATTAAAAAGTAATTAAATTAAATTATATAAATTAAAAAAATATTTTTAAATTTATTTCTCTTAATTATCATAATCTCAACAATTTTCTTTCTTTTAATACATAATTAAAATGCAACAAAAATGATTAATACTCTCTAATTATTTTAAAGATCTATCTCAGGCAAAATAGATAATTTTAGGCAAAATATAATAATTAAAAATAATTTTATTCATCCGATTTTTACTTAAATTATATTTTATTTTGAAAACCTGCTCTTCATTTATTAAATTATTAAAAATATTGCAATAGGCAGTAAGCAATAGGGCAGGCCTAGGCATCCACCTACTGTAATTAGTAATTATAATATTATTATATGATGATTAATTTCTCAATCAAAATGTAAATAATTATTTCTCTCCGACTCCGCTCTCGCACACAAACGTAGGCCACGTAAGACTACTCTGCACGAGGCACAAGTTACGGTGCATTCTGTGCTCACGTGACTACCTTCCTTTTTTCCTGTCTCTAAATTAGAGATACCGAGATAACTGTAATGTTAAAAAAATTAATTAATTAATGATTTTCTCTCTTTTAAAATTTCGAATAAAATAGAATAAAGAATTCCTTGAAATCACGTTTTATTAAGGAGATAAAAAAATATTAGTACTATATATATTTTTTTAAACTCGAAGAGAAGAGAGGGAATTAAATCATAATTCATTATTAAATTTTATATATATTTACCACTACTTAATATTATCTTTATTATTAATAAAGTATTATATTTATATTATCTTTTTCCCATTTTAAGTGTCACAACTTCCTAATAAAAAAAAGTGTCACAAATTAGTTTTTTTATTTTATATGTTGATTTAGAAATAAAGGATATATATACATATATTTTTAATTTTACTCTTATATCTCATTATTTCTGCTAAGTCAATATTAATCACTTGGAAAATTAATAAAAGGGTACTTTAATTAATTATAAATGTTTTTAAGAATTAAGGAGATTTATTAATTTCTTTAACTTTTCATACAATTATATTTAAATGAAATTTAAAATGAAATGATTTTTTTTTTCTTAAATGAAAGTCATTTAGTTTTTTTTTTTTTTTTTTTTTGTTTAAGTAATTTTTTTAAGTAGTGTCGTTATAAATTTTGATAAAAATTTGTGATAAATTTAAAATGTAGCTGAATGTTGGATGATCTAAATATTTTTTTTTTTTTTTTTTTGAGAAAGTTGTTTAGTAATTTTTTAAAATTCTTATAAAATTTGAAATTGTGATATTTAAAATGGAATGTTGATGATCTAAATATTAATTTGGTCATAATTTAGAGACCCGAAAATATTTAATCATTGTGATAAATAGAAAATGAAGTGACTTGCAATTAAACTCTGCTTTTCAAACTAAAACAATAGAATATATGTCAGATAAGCATTCATTTGATTTCTACATTCAGATGTGTCAATGTGTCTACTACAATTTGAGTTTGAGATAAAGCTTCGTCCACAAAACCTTTAAGAATATTGTCTGGGTATGTTTCATTTTCAGCATGTGTGCACCAACATTTTCAAGATCTCTCCTCCATTCTCTTCTTTATGAATGAGCATCATTTTCTTTCGATTTGCGCATTTTCAGTCCTGTCAATATGCGTTTCATTTTAGGATCTTCTCCTTTATTCTTTTCTTCAACAATCTAAGCATTATTTTTCCTAACTTACACAATTTGAGGAGTTTTAGATATTTCAGTTATATTAACATTGGCTTGAAGTCGATAAAAGTAGTCTTTATTTCTTCAATCCATGCTCTATTAACTTCAACCTTATCAACCAATGTTAACATTAAAATGAATTTTTCTTGTCTTTTTTAATTAAAATGGAGAAAGAAAGAGATAAAAGCATTGTTTTGGAAACCTAACCATATCCAATTCATTTTCTGTATTTTATCCGCCTCTCTCTTGATTTTCATATATTATTGTAATTAAAAAAAAAACTACGTAAAGGACAATATAAACTTTATATTTTGGCTTTTACTAAATTTAGTAAGTTTGTCTAAATAAATGGGACGCTCCAATTAAAAATTTTTAATTTTTTTTTTTTGGAATTTACAATAGCAAATTGCATTTTTTTTTTCTTATCAGTAAAATTTCTTTTATTATTAAAATCCGACAAAAACATAATATAGCCAAACATCTAAACCCAGATCATCAGGCCTCTCCAATATACCCATCCCAGCTCGAAAATGCTAAGTGAAAAAACTCAATAAACTATACATCAACTTGAAGTTTTTTCTTGAGATAAGAAAAGAAAATAAGAACAATTGAACAAAAAATCATGTAGCTTCAATAGTAAAAATCAAATCCAAGCAATAAAGGGCATTGTTGCATCTACACCTCTCTTAGCCAAACTATCAACAAAATGGTTTCTCTCTCAAATCACATGATAAAAGGAGATATTATCCGTAGATTCTAGCATCGCATCAAATTTGTTGAAATGTTCCCACCACTTCTAAGGACATTTGTTCCTTTGAGATATCCAACATATAACACTTTTTGAATCCGATTTAATAATTAAAGGGCAGTATTTAAAGTCTAAGAGAGAGAATATTTCTACGGCTTTAAAGTTGGCGAGAAATTCTGCATAATTAGAATCAAGAATACCCACAAACTCAAAAAATAAACAGATCATTATACCCTATGAATTTCTAAGAACTCCACCAATACCAACTGGGCCTGATTTTCTTCTAGAAGCTCCATCGGTGTTAAATTTTAGATAACTCGTAGAAGGTTGTTGTCATTCCAGTACATATTTTTTTATATAGCCTCCCAAATATCCAAGCCAACTACTCTTACAAACCAAGATCAGGTTAGAGAACTAATGGTTAAATAATAAGGAATAGATGGGGACTTAACCTTAAGAAGTTCAAAGTTGTGAAATTTAATAATATCAACAAGAGAAGCATTGTCTTGTCTAATACCGAAGAAAATGAAGTTGTTCCTTCGAAGCCAAATTGACTAACAAGTTATAAAAAATAAGGAAACCCATGCAATATGCAGCCCTTTAAACTTTAATAAGCTTTCCCATTGCCAACATAAATCATTCAAAGAGGATAGTAGAACACCAGAAACATTCCACCACTGGAAAATAGATAACCAAATCTCTCTAAAAGTTTCACAAAGCAACAATATTTGGTCCATATATTCAAAATGAGAGTTGCAAAGTGAGCATACACATCCATCAAGACTTAAAATAATATTTCTTTTGAACAAATTGGTCCTGCATGGTATTTTATCCAACATGGCTTTCCAAACAAACAAAGCTATTTTAGAGGGGATGAATGAGATCCAAAGATAGGGGTGGCTATATCAGGGTTCAGAAAAAAAAAAAAAAAAAAGAAAAAAAACCGAATATTTACACTCTTTAAACATGTACTCTGCTCCCTCTAGGGGTGGCCATATTACGGTTCCGGTGGTTCGGAACCGGTGGTTCAGAACCGGTCCGAACCGAAATCAGAACCGGACCGAACCGGAACCGATGATTTCCGGTTCGGTTCCAGTTTTAGTATTGTTGGAACCACGAACCGGCAGTTCCACAAACCGGTTGGAACTGGATGGAACTGCCGGTTCTCCGGCCGATTAGAACCCCCGGTTCGAACCGGCGGTTCTAGCCGTTAGAAACTATCAGATTTATTATTTTTTTAAAATTTTGTTGTGAAATCTCTTAATTTTTTGATTCCTCTAAACATCAAGAGGATACGTAGGCAACTTAATTCTTTTTTTTTTTTTTTTAAATTAAGTTCAAGCCCTTTTTTTAAAAAAAATTATGTTCAAACTTTGTTAAACAAAAAATAAATTCAGTTGAAGACTTTTTTTTAAAAAAATAATTAAGTTCAAGTCTTTAAAAAAATTTAATTGAAGCATTTAATTTTTTGTCTTTAAA